TCCCGGCGGCACCGCGCGTCCATGCGGAACAAAAACCAAATCCCTTTCCCCCGATGGTAACAGGTCGGACTCTTTCCCAAAAGCGGAAGCACCGGGAAGTTCGACGCCTGACCTAGGACGTATCCTCAGAAATTTTGGCTTGCCGGAATCCTCCTCCCTCCTAGCGTCCCCCGCCACCGGTGCTCCGTCTCTCTTGGCACCGGCTGGTGTGACTGCGGGGTCTTGCTCGCCCGGCCTTCCGAAATCCTCTTCGGTCGGCTGGGAAGGAGCGCCCGTGGTAATGGCAAGGGACCGTTTCTCAGCCGGGTCCGGTCGCAGTGCATCAAGGAGCTGCGAACGGGCACGGGATATAGACCTCTCCGCGATCGGGACTGGCCGTCCGGTCGCAAAACCCTCCCCTTGAGCGGGGCCCCCATGAGCCCCGGCACCTAATAAAAACTGGGACCCCACTCCTGACGATGGATATCTTGGAACCTGGCTCGATGAAGAACGCAGCGAAATGCGATACGTAATGCGAATTGCAAAACTCCGTGAATCATCGAAACTTTGAACGCATGTTGCGTCCGAGGCCTCGGCCGAGGGCACGTCTGCTTGAACGCCACACACATCCAGGTGGAGCCATGCATCCGCACCCACACCCTCCGCACGCGGCTACGTGCGGCCGGGTGAAAGGGACGGAACTGCCAAAATGCGTCGGCATACGAGGGGCGCTCGGGTTTTACTCGAGACAATCGCCCGTACCTGGGAAAACGAGATGGCCGTCGCAACCCGTGCACAACGGGGGGCAGTCGGCTGAAATCGCAGGGCCGCCACAAGCCCGTCTCCTCTCCGTCTCGACCCCAGTGCAGATCCCCGGATGCCAACCGGGAGGACGCGAGCGGGACGAGCGAAACGAGGTGGGTGGCGACCCCGCTGGGCTCGGTGAACCCAGCCGGCCAACGGATCCCGTCCGGACCTCCCAGCAGGTGGGGGGGTATCGGATGCCAAACCGTTCCTCTTTTCCTCACCCGAGAAGGCCGCGAAACAGAAAAATGGAGCCGAGGGCGTGGCAACCCTCGGTCTCCGCCCTCCAAAGTAGCGCGCACAGACCGGGCGAGGGGCAGACGGGGCTCGTACTAAAAATGGTCGGACCGGGGAAGAACCGGGCAAACCCCCAAACGATGGCTTCAAGTCAGGCGAGACTACCCGCTGAATTTAAGCATATTACTAAGCGGAGGAAAAGAAAACAACCGTGATTCCTTTGGTAGCGGCGAGCGACCAAGGAAAAGCCCAGGCTTGAAATCCGAGGGCCTCCGGCCCTCCGAATTGTAGTCTGAAAAGGAAGCGTTCTCTGTGACGGGCGCCGCCTTAAGTCCACTGGAAAGTGGCGGCAGAGAGGGTGACACCCCCGTCGGGCGACGACCCGTCACTTCACGAGGCGCATCCGAAGAGTCGGGTTGCTTGGGAGTGCAGCCCCAACATGGGTGGTAAGCTCCATCCAAGGCTAAATACGGCCAGGTTTCCGATAGCGAACAAGTACCGCGAGGGAAAGATGAAAAGAACTTTGGAAAGAGAGTAAAAAGTGCTTGAAATCGTCAGGAGGATAAGCGCATGAGCCCAAGCAAACCTGCGGGACCCGTTCACGCGGGGCCCGGAGGTACGCAGCGCCGGTCGATGCTGCGGGAAAAGGAGCTCGCTCCCACCGCGGCGGAGACCGAGGATGGCCCTCACGGGTCGGCGCTGGCGAAACGGGCTGATGCGACCCGTCTTGAAACACGGACCAAGGAGGCCAACGCGGCTGCGAGCCAATGGGTTGAAAACCACAATGGCGACAGTGAAAGCGACCCGTGAGAAGGCGGCCTCGTGCTGCCCGCACCACGGACCGCCCCGGGGGCCTCGGCGCCCGGGGTGCGTTGAGTAGTCGCGTTGGGACCCGAAAGATGGTGAACTATGCCTGAGCAGGGCGAAGCCAGAGGAAACTCTGGTGGAGGCCCGCAGCGCTACTGACGTGCAAATCGTTCGTCAGACTTGGGTATAGGGGCGAAAGACTAATCGAACCATCTGGTAGCTGGTTCACGCCACTCCAGTTGAAATAAAAAACTCTCATGCATACAAACTCTCAAATACTCTCAAGCGCTCTCAAGCGAACCAGCTACCTACAAACTGCCTTCGAACGCCTGCCAAGCGATCAGTTAGATTAGACCTTTGAGAGATTTCAACGCGCGTGTCCCACAGAAACCGGGTAGTACCCGCCTCTCGGATAGGGAGGTGCCGGCTCGGCTGAAGCGGCCTAAGGGGTAGTGGGGCCTTGGGGCCCTGCGACACCATCTTACTGCAGGAAAAGCTGTGGCACTGTCGGTACCAAGCGGACCTTCGCCGGTCTCGTGGCCCGCCAGCCTTCTGGCTAGGCGGGGTATGGTCACAACCCGACAGCTGGAAGCCGATCTGCAGCGAACCACGGTCAGTGGGAAGTACAGACACTATATGGTGGTGGGTCTTCCTGATTCTATCGGAAGGCTTAAGAAAGAGCGCTCTGCGGGGAGTAATCTTCGCACTATGAGTCCGCCCATACAAAAGGCGGCCGGTGGCAAAAAACATCGCCTCCGAGGGAAAGAGCGCCTCGCTCTTCCCGCCCCCGGGCCCCAACAGAACGAGTCAGCCCGTCTCGGCTCTGCTGGGGAGGTCCCAAGGGACTCGCCACCCCTGACGGACCCCGAGGCCCTCGCAATGACGTTGTATGCCGGTGCCCCTGCTGCCCGCAGAAAGGGAAAGCGCTCTGCCAAAGCGCCTACCCTAGAGGAGACGCCGCCAAAGAAACAACGTTCTGCCGAGAGCCTCGGCCAGGCTACTGATGTTCTGCAGCAACCCTTGGACTTGCCCACTGGTTTTGAACCGAAAGTGGTCATAGTCCTCCCACCCGAGCATGACAACCAGCAACAGCTGGAAGTGCGAGGTCGGAAACGAAAAAACAGGAGATCCGCTGCTGAGGCGAAGACACTCACCGAATTGGACCATCCACCCCCTCCAAAGATTGTTTTTTTCGATCCAGTGATTAACGCGGCCGAACCGTCTTTGGAGCCAGAAAAGGCGTTTCAGAACCCCTTTGATGGGTCGGGGACACACCTCGGAAAACTCGCCCCAGATTTCCTGGGATTCAAAGCGAGTGGTGAGGAGGGTGCTCTAGCGGTGAGTGGCGAAGGCCGTGCCACTAGCAACCGCCCTTTGGTGGCTGCACAGTGCACAGGCTGTAGCCACGTCTTTTGGGGGCAGAAGATCCGCAAGATACGCAAGCGGCATCGATGTTCTCCAGCTCGGATCGACCCAGCCAAGCTAGCAGAAGTGCCACGGATTGGCCCAGAACCAAAAACGCAAGGTATTCCCCTTGCCTTGGAGGGAGAAAAGGCTACCCCAAAAGCAGCTCCGCAAGCCGAAGCTGGGCCAGAGGAGGTTCTTGAGGACAGCTCCCAGCAACACCCACCCGATGGGGCCGCTGGACAAGGAGCAATCCCCACCCCTCCAGCCGACCACCCGTCACAACCTTCTGACGCTGGGCCCGACGTGGACATGGGGACCCTGCTTGTCAACGAGCGGAACGACAGCCAGCCGCACAGCGAGCCCCTCCCAGATACCCAAGATCGGGAGGCCTTCGACCGCCTCTATAACATGATGGTTACTCTCACCGAGAAGGTTCAGACTATGTCTGACCAGATCGAGGAGATGCGCCGGTCTAGTTCAGGCGGCGAGAGGGAGGTGGCTAAGCCAGCCTCGGGGAAGGCAGGAGCTTCTCCTAACAATCCTGTGGCTAGCAAGGCCTCCTCGGCTGCGCAACGTCCGTCCCCTGCCCCCACAGGAGGATCAGACGTGGGTCAAAAGACCAAGGGCAAGAAGCCGAGACAGAAGAAGAAGAAGAAGAGGCCCAAGTCACAGGCCTCTTCGACACCGGCCGCTCCGACCGGCTCTTCGACTCCCTCGGCTGCGAAAACATCTGCTACGCCGCCCGCTCCTGCTGCGAACCCAAAGTCACCTGGCACAGTACCCTCCCAGGCGCCCTCGCACACTCCAAAGTCGACCTCCACCGCCAAGAAGCAGAAGGCGGGAGGCAACAAGAAGCCGGACCATCGTCCAAAGGGTCGGGAGGCGTGGGGCGAGCTCGGACTCCGCGATAAATCTCAGGCAGTGACGCGGAAGACGGGGACAGCCAAGCCGCAGCTTTTTGCCGAGTCGAGCTCAGAGGATGCCTCGGCGTCAAACAAGGCTTCCAAAGACTCTACCGCAGCGCCCACGAAGTCTGACTCTAGCGCTATCAGCCACGGCGGCCAAGCAAGGCGCCCCAAAGGTCACCGGTGCACTTTTTGCTCCAGACTTTTTCGAAGCCAAGGAGCAGTCAGAAAGCATGCCGGCCGAAAGAACGGGTGCGTGGCACGGGACGCGCAACGGGAGGAGCAGCTCCGAGATAGAAAGCGGGCGGCCACCCCTCCTCCGGAGGGTTCCACTGCGGAAGCGGAGAGGGCGGACCATTGGGCGGACTACTGGGCTAACTTCGAGGCACAAGACTGGTCACCTATTATAGGGGAGGAGGCAGCCATGCTGCCAACACTCCGCAAGGTGCCATTCAAATGCCGCGGGCTGGCTGCTGCTTGTCTCCGTCCAATCCTCGAGAAGCTCCGGCAAGATAAAGACCACAAGACGGCAGGGACTCTGCTGGGGATCTTCCCGCAGCTGTGTCTGTCATCGGCCGCGCTCACGAACGACTCTCCCCACTGGAAGCAGGTGCGGGAGCTGCTTGTCTGGTGGAGTCGGGGCGACTGGGCTAAGTTAAACCTCCGAGCTTTGGCGGCTATCAACAAGATGAAAAGCCGAATACGGGAGAACAAAGCTCGGGTGGACGACAATTACGGCTCTGCGGAGACACTGGCTCGATCACGGCGCTGCATTAAGTTCGGAGAGCAGGCTGAACTCTCCCGAGCGTCGGAGGCGCTGATTGCTGCAGCCCTGGCCCCTACAACGGATGAGACTCGAAAGAGTCTTGAGGAGAAGCACCCCTGCCCCACAGTGCCTTTCACGGCAGACGACGGCAGCTGCACCCTCCCCCACCCGGAGAAACCTACAAAATGGGTCCTGAAGCTGGATGTTCTTGCGCGGGCCCTTCGCGAGAGCCCACGCGGCTCTGCAGGTGGACCCACCGGCTGGCGCATGGACTTCCTACGAGAACTTTTCACACATCCGGGCGATCTCAAGCTCCTGTGTGCATGGCTTCAGGCGGTAGCAAGAGGAGAGGTGGGGCAAGGGGTGGCACAGTGGTGGACAGCGAGCTCACTAGTGGCCTTGGAGAAGCCGGGTGGTGGAGTACGCCCGATCGCAGTGGGGGAGGTCTTTCCCCGTCTCCTGGCGCGGTGCTTCGCTGCGGACTACCATGATGCGATCATCCGACATTTGAAGCCGAAGGGTCAGTTCGGGGCTGGTGCAAGGAACGGCGCGGAAACGGTCATCCACGGAGTGCGGGCAGCTTTGAAGGCCAATCCTACATGGGGTGTCCTTCAGATCGACGTTAAGAATGCATTCAATTCGGTCTGCCGCCAGGCACTCTTCAAGGAGCTTGTTGAAGGCCCCTTTGTGGCAATGACTCCATTCCTGCGCACCCTCTATGGGGGTCCTTCCCCACTCCTGTATAGAGCTGACGCGACCCGTCACACTCTTTGGTCGCGAACAGGAGTGAGGCAAGGGGACCCCCTGGGCCCATTCCTCTACGCACTCGCGCAACAACCGGCCCTGGAAGCGGTGAAGGCAGCACATCGAGACATTTTCCTGTGCAGCTATGCTGACGACACCTACCTGTTGGGAGAGTTGGATGCGATTGGCGCGGCGTTTCCGACCCTGTGCGAGAAGCTGCGCGAGATTGACCTGGAGGTCTCACAGAAGAAATGCCAGTGGTATGCGCCGAGTGGCAATCGGCCATCTGCTGACAACCCTCTCTGCGAGATGACCGAGGCTAAGGAGGGCCTCGTGGTGGTGGGTTCCCCGGTCGGCAGCAAGTCTTTCGCGGAGGCAGCGGTCATGGCCAAACTGGAGCCGGGACACACGATTCTGAGCAGATTGCCGAGGATAAACCACGCTCAAATGGCTTCTCGGATTTTGGCGGGTTCGATCTCGGCGCGGACCAACTTCTTGTGCCGCACTACGCCGCCGACTAAGGACTTTCGGCAGACGTTGTCATTCTGGGACGGGTCCGTGTTATGCTATTTCGCCGATATCCTACAAGACGACAGCCTTCTTACACCCGGGAAGGTCAACAAGGCGGCGCAGACTCAGATCACTCTTCCGGAGCGGATGGGCGGCTTCGGGGTCCAATCAGCCGAGCGGTCGGCCGATCTGGCGTACGTGGTCAGCCTTCTCAGCGTAGCTGGGACCCTGAAGTCGTTCTTCCAGGTGGGCGGGAAGAGCATCATCGGGAACCATGACGGAGATGAGCCCTTCCCGCCCATCTTCGAGGAGGCAGAGTCGGCGCTAAACAGACTACCAGAAAAGGTCCGCAAGAAGCTGCCCACGTGGAAGACGGTCGGGGAGAGAGGGCTGGAACGGGGAGCGTTTACGCTGCTGGCGCGGGAGCTGCAGATCGATGCCCTGGACGGGATTCGTAAGGTCCTGAACCGGCCCCGACATAAGGCTCGGCTAACTAGTCTGCAACTACCGAACGCGGGCGCATGGGTCTCGGCCCTACCGTCACGACCGGACCTCCATCTCGAATGCGAGGACTGGGCGATCGCTGCGAACCTTCGGTTGGGCCGAGACATTCCACACCTCATCCAGGCTGAGACATGCTCGTGCGGGAAGGATTTGTCCACGTGCAACGCGGCAGGGCACGCTCTCCGGTGCTCTACCAAATACGCACCGTCAATTCCGCATAATGCCATTCGGGACCATGTGGCGATGGTCTGTCGGGAGGCGGGCATGCAGACAACAGTGGAGGACAAAACTTTGTTCGGCGGGAAGCCGATTCCGGACGTCGTGAGTCTCCACACAGATAGCGGAAAGACTTGGGTGATGGATGTGGTCATCGCGGACCCGCATGATAACAACGCCAACTGCCCAGAGACGAAGCCAGGCGCGGCTCTCAACGAAGCGGTCCGGCGGAAACGGGTGACGTACAAGGACGCGGGGACAAAGGGGGGGAAGCGGATGGAGAAGACCACCACGGTGATTCCGTTGGCTACGGAGATCTATGGTGGTTGGTCCAACAGCTTTTCCGACTGCGTCAGGGACATTGCAGCTACAACTTCGAGGCGCCTCGGCAAACAGTCAGGGCAAACCACTGACCTAAAATCTCTCATCTGCCGGAGCATCGCTCAACGCATAGGAGTGACGCAGCAACGTTCTCAAGCGGTAATGATCCGACACAGGCTGCGGGCAGCTGTGGAGGCTAAAGGGGAGACGATGTACCAGGATGCGGGGAAGACCTTCGACTGGATGGGTTCCCAGCCCCCCGCCCCCTGTGATATCGTTGTAGGTAGGGCAGATTTTTGA